ATACAATATATTTATATATAGGCATTAAAATATACAACTAGTTGCATACCCATGATAATATGTATATACCTGTACATATACATATATATACATACATACATATATATACAAATACAAATATTTGACAGGTCAAATAATTCAAACAGGCTTTTTTCTGCTTTTCTTACTACATATTTCTTACATACATTCATTCTTTCCTCTTCCTCATTTACCGTTTTTTATAATTCTCATTCTCTATAATTAACAAATAATAAAGATGTGCATTATGAAATTACTTCAACTTACACATAACAAAATTTCTAATGTAAATAATTTGTATACATGTATGTATCTATGTATGTATACACATATATAATCTAATATTATGCATCTTCTCAATACAATTTTTTACAGTTAAACTTCCATGATATAGAACAGTACAAAACGATAGGTTTCCCTTTTGCAGCAATATTATTTTCATCGCTACAGAATGTCATAAAACTGCAGCGATAAAAGGAAATATGTCCATACTTGACTGCTGTGATATTACAATATGTAAATACGTGTATGTTTACATATACATACAGAATATTGAGTAAACTGTGGTACAATCGTCGAGACTTCTCGTGAATAAAGTCAAGTAAAATATGCAAAATAAATTTTTGTTACTGATGTCTTAATTTTTGAGAAATGATTCATACAACAATGATTACTTTTATACATTTAAAATTGGTATTCTCATATAATCAATAAAAAATTTATTATACAGCTTTTGTTCCTTCATAGAATATTAGTTATCCCGACATGCCATGATTTATTGGAGCACACCTAAGCAGTTAGTCATTATTGCCAGAATGAAAAATTTTATTTATGTATATATACTCACACACGTATACTGCAGTTATATATGTATATATATGTATATATTTATAAATACACGAGGCGGCTACCCCATTATTTAATCTATCATAGTCCACTCTCGTGTTCAGAAAGGCATACCAACTTGAGCAGATATATCATAATTTGTGTCTGTTTGGAAGATTGACATTACGCAAAATGCACACTTTTGCATATAAAATCCTATCTTATGAAATTGTCCCTATATATGCACACTTTCATTAAACTCAAAGCTGAAGGTAATCTACAACTCGTGTCATGCATCATAATCGACATCTTTCCTTTTTTTTTGTACAAACTCGCTCTAAAAATAAGTGCAATCTTTCTCGCTCGAGGCGCATTGTGTTTATATATAAACTATTTTCAAAAACACGCACGTAAATAACTTTCTCGTGTCTTCGGGTGTTTTCCAGCAATGTACATAAGCGACACTGTGTACGATTCCGTGCTTTCCAACTATGCTATTTTTCAGTTAGGATACGCTATGTTACATTTGATGTTTTCCAGCTACGTACAAGCACACTGTGTAAGATTTGGGGGATGCTTTCCAATTATGACACAATAGACAAGTTGACACAATCGTACACAGCTAAATAGTTGAGTTTGAATATGTTGATACTATAGTATATTATATGTATACTATAATATTTTTCTAGTTTTATGTATACTCTTCAAGAATAGGGGCCTTGATTGTACATGCATTATTACACACATGTTGCCTATGTACATAGTCGAAAAGCACCAAATGTAACATAGTGTGTTCTATTTGGAAAACACAATGGTTGGAAAACACAGAACCATACACTGTGTTACGCTTATGTACGTTGCTGGAAAGCACCCTCGTTTATAATATTCGTAGACTAGGTGAACGGATTAATATGGGGCAGCCTTTGTGAGTATATATCCATTTTGTATTTATAAACTCTCTTTGCATAACATGATGCTGCCATAGACTTCGGATTTTCAGAATTATATAATGGGTGAGTCAGTGGGCACAATTGTGTGTCTGTATAAAACATTTAAAACACTGTAACACCCAGATGTTTTGCAAAATGTACCGTTGGTTAATATTTGATTAATAAGCCGTCCATTCAGGAATACTGTACTGCTTGTTTATATTATATTCGTTTGCAATATGGCTCGTGAAATAATATCGAAATTATCTTTTCCAAAGTGACAAAATTCTTCTTGTTTTGAGATCTATTTCTCCATAGTATTATAATTTTGATCGGCATTCTACTAGTTACAAATCATTCGCTCTCAATTATATATAATGTATCCAAAATATTTACAACTTTGCTAGCAGGCCTTTTACGCATCCCGCTGTTTTAGTTTTAATAAAAACAAATCTCCCAACGCAATATAGGAGATTTTTCTTTAAGCTAATTCTTTTGCTGCATATTTCAGCCATATTTAACGTTCTCAACTAATCTGGGCTATAACTGGCACCAGGAACAGACCTATGTGGAGACTCAATCACTTTCTGGACCGCCTTCTTTTTCACCTTCGCCATCTCCTTCTTCTCGTGTCATGCCTTCAATTGGTGCTGGAGTATCTTCTATGTTTGTAACACTATTCGTTGGCAGTTGACCAGAGTCAGGTGGCACTGACGGTGGACCATTCTGTGCAGCGCCTTGTGGAAATCCTGTTTCAGCTGATACTAAATGCGATGGCATATGTGGCGAGGCTGTTTGCGACTTTCTGCTTTTCTCACCTTTCCTCCATAATGTAATCTCCTGAACAAAATACAAAAAGCAAAGGTAAAATGAAGATAAAAGGAATAATGCATAAAATAATATTTTCATTTTGAACATAGAAAAGAAGTACAATTTTAGAAAGTTTAAAAAACAAAATATGTAAATGATATACAAATTTACCTGTTGCTTAAAGTATCGTCGATCTTCTTCATCCATGAGAACCAAATTCAGATAATATCTAACACTAAACTTCTTATTAATGTCGCGCATTGTAGGGGCCAAATCGTATCCAGCTAAAAATACCCTTATAGGAATGGATTCCCCTCGAACGGGCGCACCATCCATGATCTCATATTTCGCTATAGTTTCGTTTTCAGTAAACGTATGAGGACCTGCAAATATGTACTCTAATTATTGCCTTAGTACCGTGAATACCGCAGAGAAAAAGTTCTTAGGAAACCAAAACTCGCGTTCCAATTTTGCCAACATGCAATGCTACATGTATACGAAACTGCAGAAATCATAATTAATTACTATTACTACATTATATTTCAATGTGTAAATTATTTATAACGTACCAGAACCTGTAGTTTCTCGTTTGATGATTGCTATCTCCATATGTTTTATTTTTATTCTAACCAAAAGAAAGTATATTTTGCCAACAATTACATCTTTTAAATGATATCTGAAAAGATGGATAGTTATCAGCAATACGTTCAGAAAATCAATCATTAAAATAGTCCAAATATATTACAATGACTTACTTGCTTTTATTATATTCAAATTCGATATGCAAACAGTCTTCAATTCCAACTTCCATTTTAATGGGATTATTCATGTCTGGATAGGAACTAAGAGTGTGCACAACTAATTCGAGTTCTTTAACAACGTCACTAATCCTTCGTACAATTGTCACTTTCAAGAAATATCTTAGTCGTACGTTAGAACCAGTGTAACTCTCAAATGGTTTCTCAACATTTGGGAATTCAAATGTATATACCGTATTGTGTGTTAATTCCCCTGGCCTTGCTAGTTCTTTTACCAGGCTCGTAAATTCGTGATGATTACCTCTGTCGTAATATAGCTCAATTTGTCCAATAAATTCTACTTTGACGCCATGATGCTCTAATTTTCCAGCTTTCCGCAAGCTGATATTAATCTGCAAGTATTGATTTAGTGACAAATTTATACTGCAAAAGCATAACATGATAAAACATTATAAAGTATTAAAAAGAATATGTTACAGAATTTAATACAGAGTTCAAAGAGCTACTATAAGATAAATAGTATCTGCAAGATGTATCATAGGTATTCCACTGTATAACCTTGGCAAAAAATATTAGATATCTTATCAATCACTGTTAAGTTCTAGTGCAAAAATTGATTTATGGTATTTGCTTATTCTTTGTTTCAAGAACCCTTTAAACTTATATCATAACTGTATCACTTTAACATATAAATTGATAAGTTTTAACTTTTGTAAACTGATATATAATGTTTTTGAATAACTGATAATTTGCTAGATATACTGTATTATAAATGAAAAGTTTATGCATATTGGAAATGCAGTATTCATTTCAATTTCATTGGACAAAAGCAAGCCTGATGCACTGAACATGTTGCATGCAAGTATGTTAACATTTGATTTCTATCAAATCACAACCAGACGATTAATAATTAAGTTGACGTTCCAAGGAGCAGGCTCTACCTTGCCGGACACGGTCTCGCCATCGTAGTAGAGCAGGTGCCGTTCCTTCTTGCCATCCTCGGACTTGATATCTGCAGTCTTTCGCGTTTCAGCGCCGTCCAACGTGATCTCTATGTCGGCGGACTGACCGAAACCAAAGAAACTCTGCGTGTGAAAAAATTCAAAAGCGTTAGAAAATCAACAGCCGGGAGAAGTTGACAACCCGGCACCGCGATCAGAAAGTCTCGGGTTACGGTGGGCCGAGGACTGCACCCCCGTGGGAGGTAAACGCACCATTTTCTAGGACAATTTTCGTGGAAACGGTGAGATACCCCGATGCAATGCCGCAGTCACGCTGACAGGATCGGCCGTATCGCGGATCAATGAACAATTTTCCAGAGCAACATTTTCTTACGTGTACGAGAGACGAGAAAAGTTGGGTTATTTTTTTGCTCGTTCCTCCCGAAAGTCACAAGTAGCCAATATGGCCGCGCGCACGCGCCCCCTTTCCCCCCCTTTACCGCTCCCACTTGTATGCGCTGTCAAAACTCGCCGGTGGCGCGCGCAGCGAGATCTTTCTCTAGAGTCTTTATATAGGGAGTCTCACTAGGGGACTCTAGTTGCAAATGCCGATGGAGCACACCTGGTGCTCGTGAATTAAGGGTCGATAAGATCAGTCTTCATTTTTATCAATTGGGCTTAATATACTCTTCAGATGGCGCTTATTTTCGTGATAGATTCGTGCACATGGCTCTAATCTGACAGGCAATTCTAAGGGAAGAGAGACAGAGGACAAAAATTAACGTGGAGTGTTATTGATAATACGAATTAATTTGCTTCTTCTTGGCCTGATATGCCTACTCGCGATTCTCGGAAATAAAACAAACATCTCTGTATTTTTGTTTGCGAGCCACGCTGTTGTACATACTCTTCGTGCTGCACGCTTTTCGTCGCTCGATCATAGGTATAGGTGAAGTCCGAAAAATCTGTCACACGCGCCGCAGGCATTCGCTGTGCACGCTGGTACGCGCGTCTTTCGATGTTGTGATGCGAAATGTTATGATGGCAGGCATCACACGTTATTCTTCACGGACGCGTGTCGTTACACCGTGATGTAAGTACTTGATTTAGCCCGCTGTACATCTTTCCTGAGGAAGAGAAAGAAAGATTTCTGAAGCTTGATGTTTATCGTCTCCGGTACTCCGCATTCTCATCTGTGGCAGTGTGGCTGTCTAATTATTGCTTTGATATTATCGTTGATAAATGAAAATGTAGATGATTATCTTGACATTAAAGAGATCTTTGGACAAATAAAGTTCGGGCTACGGGCTATTTAACATAAAAAGTATTAATTCAAATGCCTGGTTGACATTGTTGCGACATCATCACCTTTTTTTTTTCAGGCATGTGATTGTAAATTTTTGTGTGTACAAAGGAGGTATCACTGATTACCCTTATGTCTTATAAAAAATATAGTTGTTCAGTGAACAGCAGTTTCAACGATGGATTGCGATTACATGACCTTCTACAGGGAGAAAGACTTTCATAATAGATGCTGCGGTGGAAAGCTTTGGTGTATTAAGGCAAAATTTTATGAATATACAGATGATTTCTGATGTTTTTTAAAAACCTTGATTAACTTAAATAATGATTAACTTATCAGTAATACTTGTATTATTCTCTCTGTTAACGTATATGAAATAACTAATCTTGCATTTTGCAATACAATCAAAAGATTAGATTAGGAAAGCAATTTTGTTAAGCAATTTGCTGATTTAATTAATCATCAATTAAGTTAATCACAAGGTTGTTCCGACATTGTTATAATTTTAATATAATGTGTCTGTATTTATAGGATATATGTGGAATCATATGTGCAGTATTAACATGGCTATTGATAATCTATGCAGAATTCGTAGTGATGGCAGTAATTCTTATTCCTACAATAAATACATTGTATTCCAGTTTAAATATGGCCATTTTCCAATCTTTAGCATTCCTGGCCTTTGCGTCGCATCTAAGAACCATGTTTACAGATCCGGTAATTAAGATAATGCTGAAATTTAATTTATTGCTTGAGATTTAGCGTATATTATGTAACATAAGTTAAACTTTTTTAATTGATATTTTGTTTTTATACAGGGTGCAGTACCGAAAGGCAATGCAACGAAAGAGATGATACAACAAATGGGATTTAGAGATGGACAGGTTATTTTTAAGTGTCCAAAATGTTGTTCTATTAAGCCCGACAGAGCTCATCATTGCTCTGTTTGCCAAAGGTAATCTAACAAAAAAGTCAAATTTGTATAGTAATGTAGCAGAATAATCCATTAATTACATTGTGCTATTATTATAGATGTATCAGGAAAATGGATCACCATTGTCCATGGGTTAACAATTGTGTAGGGGAAAATAATCAAAAATACTTCGTACTTTTTACTGTAAGTATTTCATAAATGCATGCACATATTACGATTTAGGTTTTTACAAAGAATGATCAAATTAATGATTCTAATATTTGACATAAATATATCGAAATATTTTGTAAAATAATATAAATGTATTTCTCTTGTACCATATTTTAGTTTTATATAGCGGGCATATCACTGCACTCTCTATTTCTGTGTGTACAACAATTTACCATGTGTGTCAGACAAGAATGGAGAGAATGTTCCACATTCAATCCACCAGCAACGGTGGTGTTATTATTATTTCTAGCATTCGAGGCACTGTTATTTGCCATTTTTACTGCTGTAATGTTAGGCACGCAACTGCAAGCTATTTGGTATGATGAAACTGTACGTATATAAAACAATTGTTATTTTTTGTGCGCATATAAAAAAGTTGCGATTTATATTTATTGTATCATATCTTTGCAGGGTATAGAACAACTTAAAAAGGAGGAAGCTCGATGGGTTCGCAATAGCAAATGGAAATCAATTCAAGCGGTTTTTGGAAGATTTTCGATAGCTTGGTTTTCCCCCTTTACCTCACCTCCTAACGCAAAAACGAAATTAGATTCTTATCTATATTCTGTTTAAATTATATTTTGATACGTATAACCATGACTTACATTTAGAGGAATACTTAAGGTACATAAATACTATAATGATGTTCGATTAGTATACAGGCTGATTCCTGAAATTGCGACGGACTACAACTCTTCTTTTAAAATTTTGAATGAAGAGAAATGATGCAAGAGAATTTTGCATAATTTTTGCAGAATTATTCTATTTATAAAAAAAAATTATGTTTATAATATTGAAAATCTTGTATAATCTTGGGTAATCAAATTTTTATACGTCAGTTTTCAGATCTTTGTTTATAAAAAAGAAATATTTTTTTGTGATAATAGATGTATTGACGATTAACAATTGCAATATTTAATATAAATATAGTTAACTATCATATAGTTGACTACCTACATGTTTTGTAAAGATTTTATTTATTATATCGCTTTATTTCATATATCAGTGAATTTCGTACATATATATAGTTTGTATAGCCACATACAAAATATTATAGGAGATAAGATGGAAATGGATATAAAATATATATATTTAATATAAATAATATATATTATTTATATATACTATAATATACTATATATATAATATATACTAATACATTATACACATAGGGTGCGTTCCGAATTACGCAAAGCGCATGCTGCATCATTTATCCTTGTTATTCACCGAAGAATAAAGAAAGATAAAATAATACGCTTTATGCATAACGGAACGCACCCATGATAAATATATATGTATGAAAATGTATATTTACATTTTTTTTGCGAAATATTTGTAATTTTCTACTGATATCCAAATATTGTACGAATTTTTTGCTATGACAGCGTTAGGAAAGTACTTAAAAAGTAACAATCAGAGTCGAATTTACCCTTTCCATGTCTTTAGATGCAATGTATTGGAGTGTTGTATAAATTTTAATTTCAGATATAAGATTCTACTATATATATTTGAAAGAAAGAAATTTTTTTATACTTATATAGTGCTTTAATATTTTCATATTATGTTTGGTACATTTCGTAAACGTAAAAAATTAATGCGGTTTTTAATACATTGTAAAATGATTAAAAAATATTGTTGAATTTAAAATTTGCATGCTCATTAGTATAGGTAAAATCGACTGTGACAACTATCATGTTACTTTACCCAAAGAAATGTAATATCTTTTTAAAGATAAAATGTATTTTAGTCATTATTCATATGAAAGAAAAAATGTAATACATATATATACTACGAAATTGTACATTATTATAACGAGTAATAGAAGTGGTTCTTTGACATCTTTATTTTCTATCGAGACTGAATTATATTTTATATTTACATAACATATAAAAATGTAAGTGTGCCATACACACATAGAAGAGAGACAATGTCGCAAATTTTTTGTATCATTTACTGCATATCTTGTAATCGTAAAAAAAATATTTTGTGTCACAAAATCTCGCTTTCTATTTACATCGAATTACATATTTGTAAGAAACAATAAAGATTGATATTCAGGGATGAATTGAAAAAAAGCTTGATGATTATATCCTTTACTCAAGTAAATTCAAAATAAATAAAATATGAATAAAATAAAGAAATGAACAATAATAAGTGAAGATCGACCGATATGTAAATAACACAAATAAGCGAAGATGACCTTATTTGATCACAAAGCGATCTCTGTGCCTAGTAATAGTGAAAAAAGAATAAAATAAAAAAAATGATCGCGTTTATTCACCTCTTTATGTCTCGAATGTTTATTTTATTAAACGCGAAATACAAAAAGATTTTGTCTAGGCATGTATGACGAATTAAAGCGTGAATTTCATCTTTTTTAAATTCGAGTTTTTCCTAGGATAATTAATTCGCTTCTCGCTCCATACATTCACACAATTTCATTCGAACTCACGAGAGCTCTAGCTAGCGATGTTCCCTTGTTAGTCATGTACTTGCAAACAAGATTTCCCTGCTTGACTTGGAAACGAGCGATCAGTCGCGCGGCGATACTACTGGCCGCTATTAGGAAAAGGATTGCCGATAATTAGCATTTTAATTTGTAGAAGTGATTTCTCCATTTCGCTTTCTATCTTCGCTCTCTACGAAAAGATAAATATATTTTATATCAAAAAAATACATTATAAGAAATCAAATTTCCCGATCAACAACCGCGTAATGCAACACAGAATGCATAAAAAGTTCATAGTTGCGACTCCATAAATTTATCTGTTCCAACAACTTTATTTTTGCAAAAGTAAAAGTTTGCATCAATAACGGCGATTTATTGCGTTATTAATCTTTTATTGAATGTTGCAATATTTTCAATCTATGTTATTTTATTATTATTTTGATAAAAAATATTAATGAGTTATAATAATTAACGTATCAATCATTAATATATGTATATATATAATATTTATATAAATTTTTTAAATACTATTTTTTGATATATATATAGTATATATATAATATTAATAATTGTATTACATTTAACATGATTAATAATATATAATATCTAATAATAATTTTTTAGATATAATTGTTATATCCGATTTTTAAGTTTCTGATGGAACTGTTTAAATTACTTTTATTTCTATTAGTTAATATCATTGATATAATATTTTTAATATATTAAAATGTGAATATATTATATACTAAAAAATTATATATAATATATTTAAATATTGATGTACTATATTATTAATATGTTCATTATTTATATATATATATATATAATATTAATAATATTAAAAATTGTTGAATACAATAATCCTTGATTGTTACATCCGATTTTTCATTTTTTAAATCGCTTTTTGTCTCTATTTATTATACTGTCACAGAAGTGACGTTCTTTAAACTTTGTGCTACGCATTGCACCAGAGAGTCGTATCATATCTTTTTTAACTGGATTTATATTGGTTTTACAGCCTTTTTGCCTGTCTATTATATTCCAATCGATAACGAATTAAACGGAACTTTCTTTCCCTGACAATCATTTTTTTTCCGACAAAAGCGGCGTGCTACTCAATGGTGGTGGTGAAATCTCTACGTAAGTCACATTGAATTACTTCTGATTCACCTCAAGACGAACCGATATAACGGCAAAAAGGTTATACGCTGCAAAAGCAAAGTGTACCTAAAAAGCGATATCGAGCAGAAAAAAGACGATTAATCGGCTCGTAAAGATACGCGCGTCCATGACGGATCCGAAGCGCGCGTTGCTATCCGATTGGCCGGTTGCCGATAGCGCGGCAAAAAACAAATGTGTGCGCGCGCGGCACGCTCGGATCCCGTTTTCCACTTTCATCGACTTCCGTTTTTGCAGATGGGGGATACGCCGTACGCAGCGGCGGTGGTTTCCATCTCGATCTCGACGGACGCGCGGGCATGACAAGGCCGGGAGCGAGGCGGCCGTCGATCGAAATCCGCATCTGTCACGAGCGCCACTGCCACCGTCGTTGCTGTCGTTCGCTAGCTTTCACTTTTCCGTGGAGATATCTCGGTAAGTCTTTCAGAAACTCCTCGCGCGTGCGATTTCCTAGAAATTCTATTTTGAGAATTTACTTTGGATAACTTGTAATTTAGAACTTGGGACAGAACAGGTCCACAAATTTGTAGGTTTACAATTTTATGCACAATACATTTCGATATATGTGCACATTAAAATATATGTATATGTAATGTGTTTTATAATTTTATTTGCTCTTACATATATGCACACATATGTATGTCCTCTTCTTCTACTACTTTCCTGACAATTTGTAAAATTTTCAGATAACAATATAAAAAGATATATTTTATAAAGGAATTTATTTCGAATCTATAAATAATATGTATATTTATTTGTTTCAAATTTATAAATAAATAAATACGTATACAATTAGGGATTTGAACTTAATTCTCCTTCTTATAGAAAATTTTTCTATATTATTATTTGAAATATTTTAGAAATTTTGTACGTATGTGCATGTATATGCACGTATGTCTACATTGTTATCAAGTTATCATTACATATATATTAAGTAAATATATAATTAAGTTAATGTATGACGATAACAATGTAGATATATATGCGTTTCTCCACACTTTCCATATTATATTTTTAGCATATGATGCGGGTAACGACCGCATTATTTTTGGAAACGCGTAGCTATATTCAACATAGAACTAATCTATCAAATAACAACATATGTTCGAAACTATATTTTATCAGTGAATACCATCATGTCTCATTGTACATTTTAATTTCACAATACTCTAACATAGTTGATATATTTCCATCATATACATTTTTCCAATCATTTGCGCAATGTGTTATGATTTTATATTGGACTGTAAGGAAAGAGTTTTGAAAGTTAAAAGTATTAATTTTTGTAAAAGCGCATAACTTATACACTCGCACATGTTTTAATTTTCATTATAAATTATGTAATTTTTACACATATTATTAAGTAATTCTACATACTCTTTCTTACAATGTAGAGAGAATAGCATCAAGTAATCCGCAAAATTAGTTTTTCTGACTGACAATAATTTTTCACATTCTTTTTTATTCATTGAAGTAGGATAGTTTTTATCTTGAACAAACACTTTTTTTAGTGTTCAGAGAATAAAAGAACGATTTAATATTTTTAACAAAATATGATTAACTCACGTGCATCGTACACAGTCTTTTTTATTTATTGAAGTGGGATGTATGTATTTTTTATCTTGAAAAAAGATTTTTTTTTTATTTCAGAGAATAAAAGGATGAGTTAAATATTTCTAAAAAGTGCGATTGATTCGTGTGCATCTTCGTTTAATTTGCGAGTGGTTTGACGAATTGTACGCTTCGTTTCGTCACGCCTTGCTTAAACACTTTCGCTTTCGTGCTCCGCGGATCATCTCGTGATTCCTAATTGGACACTGTGTAATCGCCATTTTACGGCTATTTACTTACTGATCTTGCGAAGCGTAAATATACGATCTGATGCGATTAGCGGTATATATAAATATTAAATTCTACCTAATACAAAAACAATCGAGATTTGGCGGCTCTCTTCGTGGAATAACAATTTTTCATCTCGTATTCGAAGGAAAGCGATGAGAAACGATTTTTCTCTCTCGTAATCTGTTTCAAGCTTCAATATCATTAATGTAATTAAAATATATAATTAGACACATGCAATTACGATACACAATTAAATGT